AACCAAATTAGACTTGGGGTGCTGCAAAGACAAAATAGCCCTTGTACTATGCATAACTTGTCAATTTTGGAAGACATTTTTCCACACGTTAAATGTTTGGACCCTAAACCTTGAACCTTTTTATGAAATTTTACACCAAAAGATTACATTTATGCTAAAATTTCGTAAGTTACTAACCAACAAATCAACATTTTACCTTGTATTATAAATTCAAAATAAAGACTTTTTATTAATGATATGATAAATGACATCTCGTATCTTGTATTATAAATCCAAAATAAAGACTTCTTCTTCATGCTATGATAAATGACATCTCTCCGTGATATTGACATAGCGAAAAGAGAGTAGAAATAATATCCTTACACGGTAACATAGCAAAAAAAAGAGTATAAATGACATCCTTCCGTGGTATTGACGTAGCAAAAAGAGAATAGGTTCAAAATTTTCATAACACCAAAAAAACGCAATGGTAACAGTATCAAAACATTGTTTGAGACACTTGCATTGGACATTTGATCCGCAATCTTCAATCGCTCATTAAACAAATACAACTGCAAATACGTAATATCCTACTAGCGAAAAAAATTCCTCCCTCAACTCTTTGGACGTTTAGAGATTAATAAAAAGAATATTACGTCATCTCAATGTCTGTATCTCAAATAGGACAAAAATATGAAATTTGTATAAATTCCCCATTTATCCATATTTTTCCTAGTGGGCATCCAATCCAACTTCATTCTCAATGCTAGAATATTAATCTTTATTTGATTAATTTATTCTAACATGTGATACACCCGGAAGTGCCAAGAGTTCGGTCATCCACCAACTAACTGATGCAAAGAAGCAACAAAGTTATCACCAAAAGAACAAAGGTTCCAAACTCACGTGTCATTTATGTATGAGAAAACAAACCTTCAATGCGCATAAAAAGGTATCCAATCCAACCTCATATCCCCCTGATTTTAGTTGTCGGTGCCCCAAGACCAATTTCTTAAATTAAAACGATAAAAAAAATTAGACAAGATTTGACCGTCTGAAGGGAATAAAGTCTAAGAAGATATGAGGAAGTCTATCCCCCACTCACCAACTCCTCCCACAAACGTGTACCATACCTACTACCAATCTTCATTTACGTAAAAGAAGCAACATCAACCTATTTTGGTTGAAGCCGCTTAATCATGTTTACACCACCTCCCCACACGGTTGTCGAAGGCACTCCCTATTGGCATTATTGAACCCACCTTTCAAAACGATGAATAGCTTTAATAACTTTCACCTAAAACCCATATGAGTTTGTATGAAACCATCATCTCCAATTCTCCATTAAGATAAGAGAGCTTTATTAGACGCAGACAAATTATCAATCTCAAAGCCTACTTTATTTATAGACTTTTTTTTTTTTGGAAATGGCAAACGATTCAGCGGAAGCCTCACCACAATATTTCAATGGTGACCCCGAGTTCGGGCTCCTTTACAGGGCAAACTCAGTCTCCAAAGGGATTTCCACGGAAAACTTCTCACACATGTGGCATAATTGCAAGATGCAAATTTAACATGTTGAAAGATTTGAACTCATGACTTCAAACTCACGTGAATATCAAACCCAGTGAATCAATCTAGCTGGGGTTGGACATCACTTGCATCTATAGACTATCTATAGACGCAAGCACATTATCTCATTTAATGCAACACATTTTTTGATCATCTATGTCACTTACCCATAAAAAAAATAAAAAAATAAAAAAACTTTTCACCTTCCGTCTGCAAAACCAATATGGGCGCTCGAAAAATGGAGAAAATAACAAACTCCTAAACGTCCCAAAATCACTTTAAGAAGGGTAGGACGACCCCCGATTTGATAAAGAATTAACTTCCATAGCAAAAGTTTTCTATTAAACTCAAGCTTCCATCTTGCACATATTACACCAAACTGGTAATCCCCAAGCAAAGTTGTCAAAATCGAGATCTTACCTAAGATCGTTTTAGGTTTTGCAAGATCGTGATCGTAAGATCGGATCGGTATCGAAAGATTCTATCAAAATGAACTCATATTCAGATTTGCTTGCAAGATAGTGTAATCAACTTTAACTTCTTAAGCATCATCCATATTTTTGGTTGCTACAAACCATAACATTATGAATAAAACATCTTATTTAGAAATAAGATCATTTTGATCATGTACAAGTAAGACATAAGATCATAAAACGATTATTATGGGTGTGCTCTATCTAATTCGAGATGAATTGATAAAATGGTAATGCTCTGGAAGACTTCTTGCCATTTGTGATGTTCAATTTCAAGTTAAATAGTCGATTTTTTTATACTCGACTATATAATAAAACTACAAGAGGTGAGATCGAAATCATAGTGTGATCGGGATCGTTTTTCACTTGTATGATCTTAAAATCGTAAGATCCTAAGATCAATATCGAAATTTTAACAACCTTGTCCCCAAGTGCTTAAAAGGTAATTTTTATGTCTTAACCCCAAGATCCCTGCAAAATCATTTACTTGTCCCCGATGTAATAGTCACTCCATAGACTACTTTTGATAAATTTTCTCGAAGATCATAATCTAAATAAAAAATACACAAAATTCTCCCCTTACTATGAGCATTTTCAATAGATCATTCTCCCCCAATAATAGCGTAAACCAAAACAAAGATTGGGAAGTTAGTTGATTTTGCTTTATCCCACATTGGTGGGAAATTGAACCCAAAGTGGATATCTATTATTCTCCACACTAAGTTAAATTACTTTTGAAGTGGAATGGTGGAGGCTATACAGGTTACTTTAATCAGTTTAATGTTGTTGAAGAGGAATAATGAGGGTTACAAAGGTTACGCATCCTTGAGTGTTATATAATTCTTTAATAATGAACTTTGCATCAATTAATTTTTTAATAAAAAAATGAGCTCACCTATATCCAAGTTTTATATGATTTAGTAGTTATCTTCATATAAATAAAAGTGTTGGTGTTTACTTTTTATAAACGCATAAAGCCCATATACAAGGGGGCATTTCCCCGACTCTTCAAAAAGGGAATCAAATACCAAGAAATACCAATCGTAATTTCATTTATTTATTCTGCTATAAAAATTTACTTTCAACAAAAAATTATTAAGGGAGGAGATTTTTTTAAAGTACAATGTTGCAATGGAAATATATAAAAGTAGGATGATAGAAAGAGACAAAATTGCAAAAATAGTCCTTGTTGTTGTTACAATTATGCGGTTTTGGTCCAAAAATGTTTGGTGGTGCACCCGTGATCCAATTTGGATACCTTGTGCGGATTTGGTCCCTATGTCATTAACTTTAACAGGTTGACTGTTAACTTTTTTTAAATTATTATTTTACCCTTAAAGACCATTTCTGCAATCAAATCTTTTTACCAAACCATAGAGACTATTTATGTATATCTTCTTTTTAATTTTATTGAAGAATTATATAATAGTTTTTTTAATTAATTTTTTTAATTTCTTTTTATAAGATTAATTCTTTTTATTGGATTATTATATATTAATAAATATTATTTTTAATATTTAATATTTAATATATTAATAATATTATTTTATTGGAGTATTGATTTCTTTTAATTAATTCTTTTTTAATTTCTTTTTTATTTGATTATTATTTATTAATAAATATTATTTTTATTATTAAATATTTATATATATTAATGAATATTACTTTATGGGATTATTAACTTCTTTAAGTTTTTTTTTTTAATTTCTATTGTATTAATTCTTTTTTGTCGGACCGAGTTGGGAGATATATTTTAGACAAAATCATCATTTTCAGACAGAGTGATAATGGTGGTGTTGTCCAAAATATGTTATCTCTCATGTATTTAAAATAAATTAGAAGAGGTGGGTTTTTGGATCTTGTTCTTGAAACTTTGTTAGATTAATTTCTTTTAGTTAATTTCTTTTTTAAAACTTTTTTTATTATATTAATTCTTTTTTTAATATATATGAATAAATATTATTTTGAATATATAATATTAATATATTAATGAATATTATTTTATCGGACTACTAATATTTATAACTATTTTTTATAATATTTATTTGAATTATTGTACATTAATAAATGGGAAATTAAGTAATCTAACAACATTTTAATGTGTATTTTAAAAAAATAGCCAATTTTTTTAGCAAAAATAACCACTTCGTCTGGAATGGGCATTCCGGACGATAGCATATTTTGGACAACACTACAACTATCACTCGGTCCGAAAACTGTAGTTTTGTCCAAAATATGTCTCAAAATCGGTCCGACAAAAAAGAATTACAATAGAAATTAAAAAAAATAATAATAACTAAAAGAAGTTAATAATCTCATAAAGTAATATTCATTAATATATATATATAATATATATATATATATATATATATATATATATATATATATATATCCAATAGAAAAGAAATTAAAAAAGAATTAATTAAAAGAAATCAATACTCCAATAAAATAATATTATTAATATATTATATATTAAAAATAATATTTATTAATATATAATAATCCAATAAAAAGAATTAATCCAATAAAAGGAAATTAAAAATAATTAATTAAAAAAAACTAATATATAATACTTCAATAAAGTTAAAAAGAAGATATGCAGAAATGGTCCTTATGGTTTGGTAAAAAGACTCAATTGTAGAAATTGTCCCTGAGGGTAAAATAATCATTTTAAAAAGGTTAACAGTCAAACTGTTAAAGTTAACGACATAGTGACCAAATCCGCACAAGGTATCCAAAATTGGACCACTGGTGCACCACCAAACCTTTTTGGACCAAAACCGCATAATTTTGACAACCACATGGACTATTTTTGCAATTTTGTCACGGAAAGATCTATAGCACAGGCATTGTAGCAAAAGGTCATAGTTTTTGTCATTGTATTTAACAAGAGTTCAAATGTGCAATTCAATTAATAGCATCAATTCATAAACATCATCAAGTTGTTAATTTATTTCCAATAAAAGTTAGACAAAATACAACAGGATCAAATACATGAAAACAATTGATACAACATATGAAAACACTTCACACTACACAATGTGCACATTATCAAGCATCATGGTGGAAGGATGCATATAAATAACTTTCAAATTAATAATATAAACTAAATATGGACATAGAAACATGTTACCAATTACAATCCTCTATTCACTTCCAATAATCTTCTTCTTCAATGCTTCAATATCATCAGCTAGTTCTTTTCTAGTTGACTGTAGACAAAGGCCCAATTTTTAGAAAAGAAATCAAATTAAAGAAATTACACTTATACCCATGTCAAATATAAATATTCACCTTAAAGAGAAGATAACGATAGATAAACCATCCAGTGTATCCAAATCCTACAAGTTCCAAGAACTTTGGGATCTGCTTGCACAATTTAGTTGATATATTTATAAAACTAAAACATATTATTAAAGATTTACATGAGTTAAAGTTTATATATTTTGATTTAGATAAAGCTTAGTTTATAACTTTATATATGACTTACCACAGGAACCTCATTGATGGCATTAAGAACTGTGGAAGATAACCAAACACCAACAACTGCCCCTCCTCCATAGACAAGAGCAATGGGTTTGTTTTCAAGTGCATTCCACTGTTAAAAGATGCAAAATGTAATAAAGTTCAAGAGCATGAATCATACTATAACTCTTTACATTAAATGAAGAAACAAGAATTTCAGAAGGAGCATTCAGATTCATAAGGTTGGGATTTAATGAAGAGTAAATAGTGGCTCACCTTTTCCTTTAATCCCGAGAATACCTCCCCAATTTCTGAAGTTTCAGATGTATCTTCTGAAGATGCCTTGATGCGATATGATAATGATCTCTTGGATGCTGTTTCAAAGAGATTTTGATGTATATCAGGCATACAAGTGATCATTCGTCATTATGTCATACCCTGGTCTCCATTAATCCCAATCGTCTGATTGAGAGAAGCCATTTAACATCAGCTATTGGGCCTAACTCACTCAAGTCTAATCACTAATTTACTATGATCATGTATGCTCTATTGGTCCATTTTGTAAACATGTATGATGAAATCCTTAATATAAACGAGACCTGTGTGAAATCTCCAACGAAGGGGGTAATAATTTAGATTATTCAGAATGATGAAGGCGCGTCAACATGTTTAGGGCACCAAAACATCCAATCAAAGCAATTTCGACAAATTGAAACACATAAAAACTCCTCGTGGATCTGATCATATCGGTTGTAATTTTGTTTGAAGTAAAAGAGGAAAAAATACGTTGTTGTATTGTACCTGAGGTTTGGAGCTTAGAGGAATGTGTCAACGGCGAAGAAGCTGAACGAGGTAGAAGATGAAGATGAGGCAAAGAAGAACGGAGACTAAACGGCGCCATCGATGATCGAGGTGCAAGCATAGCTTGCGCCATTGAAGAAGAAGCCCCTACTGCTGACATGTCTCGCCGGGCGGTTGGTGATCGGAGTTGACCTGCCTGTAGAATCGGAGAATCAGCCAACTTTCTAACAGAGCGGAAGAAAATGAAAATGTGCTTCACGCAATTGCAGCTTCCCTTATTTTTGTTATTTAATAAGGGATAATGAGTTAAAAGGGTAATATATTTTTGGATTTGTGCATATTTTGTCACTGAGTTTTTTTTTCGTCCACATTTATCCTTCATCTTGTTAAATTATATACATTCAGTCCTATGACCGGCTATTCCAGGTTACCCGGTAAAAATGACTTAATAGGGTAATATATTTCTCACTTTGTACCCATTTAGTCCTTTTTTTTTGCAAAATAAGTCATTTTTTTTGTATTCATTCAGTACTTATGAATGATTTTTTAGTTTTTTCTCACGAAATCTTACGTGGGACATTCATTAATGAGGTGTATGGGGCTTTTGATGTTTATATTCATCGCGATCTCGACTACTTGGTTGCTTAGGTCATGTGTTCTGAACGTCATAACTTCTTCATATGATCTCGGATTTTAACAATCTTTATATCCATGCGTTCGTATTTTAGTCTACTACAACTTTCATTTAGATTACTCCCATTAAAAAAATATTATATTTTTACTTACGATTTTTATATCCATACGCGGTGGCGGAGTTAGTATGGTCCCGGTGTTGCACCGACAACACCTGTTTTTTCTGTTCGCAGTGGAAAAAATTTCTCTTTTTTTTTACGTTTATACCTATTTCCATGTATCGGCAACAACTACTATGTATTACTGCGTCTTCCCCTGTTCATACGTTTTTTATGAATGCATGTATGTATGTTTTTTGTATAAAATCGTTAGTAAAAATATATTACATTTTAACGGGAGTAATCTTAAAGAAAGTTGTAGTAGACTCAAAAAATGAACACGTGGATAAAGATCCTTAAAATCTGATATCGTATGAAGAAGTTACGATGTTCAAAATACAAGAGCTAAGCCAAACCACAAGACTTACGCAACCAAGCAGTCGAGATCGCATTGGACATAAGCATCAACAACCCCAAGCACCTCATCAATGATTGTCTCACGTAAGATGTCGTGAAAAAAACCTAAAGAAATCATTCATAAGTACTGAATGAGTACAAAAAAAGGACTTATTTTGAAAAAAAAATGTTAAAGACTAAATATGTACAAAAATATTAAGGACTAAATGTGTACAAAATGAAAAATATATTACCCTATCAAGTCATTTTTCCCGGCTAACCTGGAGTAACAGGTCATAAGGACTGAATGTGTACAGTTTAACAAGTTTAAGGGGTAAATGTGGACGAAAAAAAACCTCAGTGACCAAATGTGTACAAATCAAATAATATGTTACCCTTTTAAATCATTATCCCTTTAATCAAGAAGCGAGCAATTATTAAACGTTTTTATTTTATTTAATAGTTCTATCTTATTCAAAACACATATAATAATAATAATAATATAATCCGTTAAAACATCAAAGAAGAACTTACCATCCAAAATACATGTAAAAGTTGTTAGATAGACTTATTAAAAAAAAAAAAAAAAAAAAAAAAAAAAAAAAAAAACAAAACACGAGAGGACAAACGATATTGCTTTCAAATATGCTTCGTAACCTTCGTTTACATCAAATCCATCAAATCCAACCTAAATAACCAAAATATCTTATACTATACTATGTTATAATCCGTGAAAACCACGGTAGCTTGTTTAAAATTATTATATAAATAAATTGATAAAAAATATAATAAATGTCAAAAAAATTCAGTGTTTTATTGATTGTAAATAATTCAGATTTCTGAATAAATTTGTTACGTAAAATAAACATAATATTTTACTATAAATTTCAAAAATGTTATTATGAATAAGATTTTGTATTTTCAGAATTTGAATTGAAGTTGATTTATTACAAAAAAAAAAAAAAAAAAAAGAGAGAGAAAATGGTAAAATTCATAGAAAATTGCCACGTGTCAAAAGGGAATGCTAGAAAATGGACATGTGACATTTTTAGGTTTTATTTATTAGATAGGTAGAGTTAGATTTTACTTGTTTAATGGTAAAACAATGTAAACTTAAGCTAGGAAATTTTTGACTGTAAAAAATAGTCAATTCGATATAATTAGACCGTATGGAAGTTTTTTTTATAGCTTATATTTGTTTTTTTATCGACTATTTAAAACAATTAGTGTATATACTATACTAGATGTAAAACCCGTGTATTACATGAGTTTAGAAAAAAAAATTAATATAAAATTATAAGCATTACCTATTTTTTAAAATAATAAGTTTATATAAGTACAAAGAATATAATAAATAAAGTAAGTAATTTAATATATAATGTAAGATATTTAAAAGATTGTATAGCATTTATTATGAAATTTAATAGAATTGTCTACTTTACATATATAAATCTCACTAAAATATGAATTTTAAATTTAAGAAAATGAAAAATACAAGAAAATGACAAGTGGAAAAAAAATAATTCAAACACTTTTAGAAAATGACATGTTGCAAAATCAATGAGAACATGACATTTGGCAAAATTGATTTTCATTTATTAGGTTAAGATTTGTTTATTTTATTAATCACTTATGCAGTGGCAGACGCAAAACATTATAGTAGTGGTGACACATAAACTTTTTTTCCAAACAAATTTAAAATAATAGCGACAATCATATTTCAAGTCGTTGCACCTAATAGGAAAAAAAATTACATTAACAACCGAAATTGGAGTGGTGGCCCGAGACCCCCGGGCACCACATAAGTCTGCCCCTATACTTAGGAACTATTTGACAGTTGTTGATCGAGTCAGTCTGAATCAAGGTCTGACTGTGTCCGAAGCTCTGACTATATCTGCTTCTGACTAAACCATTTTGTTTGATTATACATCTGACTGGCTGTGCTGACAACCGAAATGACAATTTTATCTTTCTTAATTGTTTTGTGCCGAATAAAATGTATATATTTGATAAAATATTTGAATAAAAATGATGAATAGTTATATAAATATACAAAATATCATACAAAATCCAAATTAAAATAAACAATTATAAAGTCTAAAAACAACAATGATTGCAAAGATGAAAGAACGGATACAATTTCCCAACTACTTCAAAAAACAGTACCAACAGCCAATAGCGGACATTAGTGGAACCCGGGGGGTACCGGGCCACTACTCCGATTCTGACACCTAGTGTAATTTTTTCTTATTAAAATATTAAATGCAACGTCTTGAAATACGAGTGAACTACTAATTTAAATTTATTTGGATTTTTTTGGATGCCACCAATTAGGCCTGACAATCGTGTCGTGTTCGGGTTGTGTAACATCCCGAGTTCAGAAGTGCAAGTTCAGGGTTCTTAGTGTGAATAAGGAAGGTCGATTCGGCGAGTCGATGGATAGACTCGGCGGGTCGAGTCGCGATTCTGGTCATGTGTTAAGTGACCAACTCGGCGAGTCGGAAGTGGACTCGGCGAGTTGGTACTGAAGGGAGAAAACCCTAATTCCAGGAGTTGTGCCCTATATAAAGCACATTATAGCCACCCTCAGCCTCTTTACTGCCCATTTGAGTTCCAGAAACCCTAATTAGTGTGTGTGAGCCTCCATTGTTAAAGGTTGAGCTTGGAAGAAGAAATTAAGAGGAGAAAGCTAGAAGATCAAGAGGCTAGCATCGGGAGATCATTGTAGATCCGGAATCTACTCCTTCTTGGGCACATTTCTGAGGTAACAAGTTGTTACCTTGAGTTTTCTCCTTCTAGATCCATTCTTTGTTGTTGTTTTGGGAATTTTAGCTTGCTTGGAATCCATTTCAGGTTTAGAGGTTAGATCTGAAGTTGCAACTTCAGATCTAGGTTGTATTGGAGCCATGAGGGCAGAAAGCATCGGCCATGGGGCTTGATTGAGAGTGCCTTTGTCCCAAAACCTTCTTGTAGCTTGGTTGGAACTTGTTGAGCCTTGCATGCACGTAAAGTTAGAAACTTTACCTGTGAATCTGGCCCTAGGAGTCCAGATCTATGTATTGGAAGCAATGAAATGGCCTGAAACCGTCTGAATGAAGATGTCACGTTTGGACTCGGCGAGTCACATGGGTGCACTCGACGAGTTGTATGAATATGTGCATGGACTCGACGAGTTGGAAGAACAACTCGGCGAGTCTGTTGAAGATTGACTGGGACTCGGCGAGTCTATGCTTGGACTCGGCGAGTCTGGTCGTGGAACCCTAACCTTTTCTGGTTGAGCTGTGAATCGGTGAGTCGAGGGATGACTCGGTGAGTTGAGCAAGAAGGGACTCGGAACTTGTTGGACTCGGCGAGTCTTGGGGCGACTCGGCGAGTTGAGTCGTGGCATTGGAGTTTCTGAGCATAGGGACTCGACGAGTCAACGGGTTGACTCGGCGAGTAGGGTCAACCAGGAAGGTTGACTTTGACTGAGGACTTTGACTTGGACCAAGGGATTGACCAGTTTGACTTCCAAGGGTATTTTGGTAATTATTGGTATTTATGGAATTGGTTCTTTAGTAGTGTTCGGTGGTGGAGTTTGTGTCGGTGATCAGAGCAGCTGATCTTAACCTTTCAGTCGGCAATTGCAAGGTGAGTTATTCTCACTATACTGACAGGGTCTACGGCACCAAGGCCGACCCTTTATCGGATGGAAATCCGGGTATTGTTTGTTATGTTATTGCTTTGCTATGTTTGCATCCTGGTAGTTAGGATGGTATGCGTTAGAGACCTGGTTAAGGTCGGTATCCTGGTATATAGGATGATGATATGCTAGTGACCGGTTAGGTCGGTATCCTGGTTAGGATGTTGCTATGTTATGTGATATGTTGGATCGGTTTGATTAGTTCTGAGATTTTATATGATTATATGTTTATGTGCACATGGTTGTTGGACTGGGGTTGGGTTGAGGCGGGTCCTGCTTTGTGCTGTAGGCCAACATACCCAGGGCGGACCGGTTAGGCCGAAGGCCCGGCGAGCGGTCCGGATAGACTGAAGGCCCCAAGAAGGCGGACCAGACGTGCCGAGGCTCGGAGAGTGGACCAGACAGACTGAAGGCCCGGTGCGGGCGGACCAGTCATATTGTA